GTCTCATCTCGACCCATGTACCGCACATGTATGATAAGCAAGTGCGATGTATTCTAGCTTTCAAAGTGTTGCTCCAGACATATTCCTCTGATCTAGCTAAAGTGACGAGGTCATATACCAGTTCCAAACATGCATGCAAGGATAGATGTACTTAACGGACCTCGAGTTAACGTCCCCGAATAGTGTATCGTGCTAAAAGATGGTTTGGCCGTCAACGTTGGATGACTCGATACACCGGCGGATAGCCAATCAATCTATCTCAGCTTGAAGCATGACAAATTACTCGGTTCATAGGATTCACTTCCCTAGAAGAGGAAGAACACGACACATAATGAATCTATACTTGATCTCTGTCTCAATCATTTCTATTTCATGAGATTAATCCGAATTACTCCCGAGACTTAAAGTTCTTGATCTAGTATACTAGTTGGGATGAGATAATGGAATTGGAATGAGATTATCATCGATGATGTTTTCACTTATATGGTAGCTACCAACATAAATGAAAAACGACAATATCGAATCGGGTTCCATTGATTAGTGACCATGTAGAACTGATTGAATAACTGAAATTACAATCCAGGTTAAATTTCTTACCAAAGTGTGTTTGAACATGTCATTCCTACACTGCGCAAGGTAACCCTGTTGTGTTACAAGTGGGAAATGAAGCATAATGAGATGAATGAAATAGTTTTCTCTCAAACGCCTTGTGATTGATATCAGCATTATGAAATGTGATTAGTGTTTCTCCATGGGGATACTAATACGAAGATTTACATTTAACTTCCCAAAGAATTACATGGATTGATTCAAATAGTTCCAAAACCACATAACACCCTTTCAACTCGTTTGAGGCTTTCACTTACATATTAAAGCAATCTAGTGAATGTGCTATACCCGTCTAAGTGATTATTTGATCAATTAGGAATATGAACTATGCCCTTGCATGTTAAACTATGAAGCCTTATTCCGAATTGTTAGAGCTATAGTTTATGTCATTGACATGAATCTCACTAAGACTCTCAAAGAGCTTGAGAAAGCTGCCTCGCACCTGAAGACGGAATTTGAGATGAATGATCTTAAGAAAACTCATTTATGCCTTAACCTAAAGTTGAAGCATAGGTTTGACAGTATTTTGGTCTACTTGTCAAACTACACCCAAAGGTGTTACCTTTGAGTATACCTATGTTCTTCCATACGCTATACGCAAATGAGATCCTTGAAGAGGTTATGGAATCTGAAGTTCCATATCTGAGTTCAACTTTGTGCTTTGTTTTATTTAGCTCATTGCAATTAGTCAAGACGTCTCATTCGTTATTGATCTATTGGTAAAGATGCAACACTGCACCTACATGTAGACACTAAATTGGTATTAAAGATGTTTTTTCGCTGCCCTAAAAGGTACTACGAATTTGGGCTAATCCCAACGCATCCCGAATGAATCTGACCGCCTTGATGCTCGAAATGATATTTGCCTTATTTGTTATGTTGATGCTGGTTACTTATCAAACCCACATAAGGCACATCTCCGAATGGTTATGTCTTTACCGTTAAGGATATCGCAATATCTTGGAAGTCCACGATATAACCTTAGTTGTGAAATCTTCAAACCATTCCAAGACTCACCTCACTTCACTACGCCACATGTGAGACATGTTTGAGAGCTTTTGTTGAGCATATTCAAAATACTTGTTGTTTTTATCCATCGTTGAGCCGTAACAATGATCCATGAAGACTATACCGCATGTATCCACCCGACCAAGACATGATACATCAACGAAGGCAACGCCAAGGCATATTGCTCTACATCTACATCAACAAAGCATTAGGAGATTGAAGTTATGAAAGCCTATCTCAAACAACCTTGCTGACCTCTACACAACGTCGCTGCCGAAGTTAACCTTGCCTAACTATTAATATGCAATGCTTGTAGTTCTCATTTGGAAGTTCTGTCAAAGTCAGGAGGAGTATTCAGAAGTATACTCACTTGATCTTAATGTATTATTTTCCCCTACGATTAGGAGCACTTTTCCCATTGGGCTTTTGCTACCTAACTAAGTTTTGATGAGGCACCCATTCTGGGCTAGTCATACCCTTGTGAGTTATTCTACTTATGTCCAGAAGATGTTTAGTTTTGACTTAATGCAACTTCTCACTTTTCTCTTTAATCTATGAGCTTTATCCCACCTTGAGTTTCACCATAGCGAGGTTTTATGAGTTTTACCTTTTATGCATTCTTTTGTTGATTTAAAACTTGCATTCGTTCATTGTGCCGACAACTTCATCAACTAAACTTACTCCATAGCTGAAGACCTGATCCGCCATTTAGTTGAGTATTTACACACTCAAGGGAAAGTGTTGCAGTTCTATTAGATTGGGAATGTGATTGTGTAAATCCTATCATATCTAGGATATCCTTATGGGATTCTACTAGATCTATTAGACTAGATATTATCCTATTAGAGTGATATTATCCCTTTTATACTTGATAAACTACTCGTAATCAAGATGATTCCCAACGACATTTTCATGAGACGTTAAACTGAAAGGCAACTTTATGTTGTTCTAAATCTAATCTCAATCATATCTTTTAGTACTACGGCTAGTGGTATTCTACTTCACTTATAAGTGAGAGGTCATAGGTTTGATTCTCGCCAAAGCCGTATTTGAACTATATTATTGCTAGCCCATTATGGAGCTTAGCCTACTCCCCCACCCCCTAACACAAACAACCTTAAAGTATTGTTCCATGTCATAAAAATGTTCGATCCTTAGCATCTAGGGTGTCAACAAATGCCTTTGGTTTCACTTCACTCAAACCATCTCCGTCGAGCCACTGCTTACGGCCTTCCATCATGGTCTATGACACACGCTGACCCGGAATGTTCACCTGGACTTCAAATCGATCTGTGCTGGCTGGCACCCGGAAGGTGATGAAGCCATAAAGTGTAGCGAGGTGGAAAATGTGAATAAATTTAAACCCCAAAGTGCCTAAATGCAAGAGTGTGCATGCATGATGAGCAGTAATATAAATATGATCATACTACGGAAACTTCGTAATTCACAACAATAAAATAATAATGTCTATAACCGTAAATATATTTATGGTATCATGTCAAAATATGCATAAACGTGCACTTGGGTTTTTGTCGGGACCTCTTCTAGGCCAATTTCAATGCCCCGAGTCCGTTTTTGACATCCATTTAGTGAAATTCCAAAGCTTTAATGTAGTTGGCCGCCTCGGCGGCTAGGTTGACTATTGACTTTTTACGAAAAATGCCCAGGGACCCTTTTTAGCGTATTTCGACGCCCTGATTCCAAATCTGCACTCTGTTTTCCCAAACTTAACCATTTTAGTTGAGTTTTACTAATAGGTCCCAATATTATGCTGAGGTGTGATTACTATCAGAGACTTTAGCTTTCCTAGTTCAAATGGCTGAGATATCTCAAGTATCTGTGAGTGGGTATTTGCTTTTAAATATTATATATTTATTTAGTTTCCATATATGATTAATAAAGAATTTTCTACGTTATGCCTAGATTAAATTAACGTTTATAAAATTACCGAAATTACGGAAATTACGAAATTATAAAATAATCTTACAGGATGCCTTAATTAGATTTATGGTTATGTATAGTATTATATTGACTAGAATTATCGAATTACTATGGCGTGACCATATTTACGTTTTCTGCTTATCGTGTGCTACACTGGTGTTTGTACTTGCCCGGGCCAGGACCAGGCTTCACGTGTATGTTCACATCACACCGCACGCTCACTTTGGATCCATTGTAGGTGTCAATCATGTCCTAGATTGCTATAGGCAATTAGGACTCGTATGTGATGTGCATAGTGCCAGTCTTCACGTGATTGTAGTACTAGAGCATAAATCATTGTTGCACCCAGTCATGTTCATGTCAGAATATCTCTGCATGAACTCGTGTGTCAGCATATGTCGATGAGCACTCGATATGATATGTTTATTATGCGAGATTATGTGATTACCAGACGTTAGGTGTTTATTTACGAAATATTGTGACGTATTGAATTCTTGGGATATTGCAGGCTCTGGTAAGTATTTTTATCTATACGTAGTAGGTTATATTTGGAAACTATACTTGTATTACAGCGAGGGGTTATTATGTTTTCAAAAAGTGTTTTACAAAGATTTATTTTTAGGCCCACTCACCCTTATTTTTTGCCCATCCTGGTTTTAGTGGCAGAGTTTTCGTGTCAACGAGGATTTTTGGCAAATGTTGGAATAGGAGATTACCTCTAATGGTATAATTCTCATTATACTTTTACTATACTTTACTTATGTTCTAACATTACGTGTGAAATGGGCTCATTCCCGCTCACATGCGCACTCTTGCATTTAGGCACTTTTAGGTTTAAATTTGTTCACATTGTCCACATCACTACACTTATGGCTTTGTTACCTCCCGGTCTCGGCCAGCACAGCTCAATTCGAAGTCTAAGTGGACCTTCCGGTTCAAGGTGTGTTAGTCTGCCAAGGTTGTTGTTGGGTCTAGAGAAAATGTGACATTCAATTACACCGAATCATTGGAAGAGCAACTCCACCATTACTTAGGCTTAGGGATAGGCAACCCAAAACACTCCAGCCCACTTGGGCAATTTGACCCAAGGCAAACCCCATAGAGAAGTCAGGCAATAAACACCGCTCTATATTTACCTAGCCATGTTCTTCCACTTTACACTATATTCAAATATTTTCAAATACTTTCAACCACTCTTTTATTATTATCTGAAATTAAAAATAAAGTTATCTTTTATTATTTTATAAAATAAAAATATTAATATTTTAATACTAATTGTCTAGCTATTCAATTTAAAGGTGAATATGCACTTAACAATTACTATTCATTTAAGACGGTTACTGTTTATTTAAGAAGATTGAGTTGCGGCCAAAGGCTTCCTATAGTGAAAGTGCTCTTAGTAATAATATTGTTTGTAAAAAAAAAAAAATATATATATATATATATATATATATCTAATAACTGATCCAACGGCTGCTACTTGAGAACGCCTCCCTCCATGACAATACCAGTCTCTGGTCATTGAAGTGCTCCTCCTCCATCAGTAGCGACGAGTAGCTTTGAACAATCTTTGCTGCAATTTCTGCTACTACCTACCGGTTGGTTCTTTTCTTCCTCTATCATCACACTTCACATTATCCAGACAACCTGATTTAATTGGGTTTGGACGAGAGTCCCAATGCCCTCAATGTGTTTGATGAAATGCCCCAACAACTCTTCACAGAATTACTCAATTTTCTTTCATTTCGTTGATTTCCAGGTTGGACTGATTTTCGGTACTTAAGTCTGTATTGGGTTTGGGTTTTGGTTGTGGAAAGTCGCAAACAAGAAAGCAGCCATGGATGGTATGTGCAAAAACTGTTACATTGCTGTGTAATTTATGTGTGTTCGTTCTGACAATTTTTACTTTTCATATGCGTTAATTGATGAAAATTACACCTTAGTGCTGCGGTAACGGTCTGATTTTCCCATATTGTCTATACTTTTTACACTCGGGACGATTTCTTTCTTTATTATACTTGCCTGTATGTAGAAATATGCTCAGACATAAATTGGCATAGGCTATTTGATGCTTAGAGATTTTTGGTTCCGGTGGCTTGGAAATGAAATTTGAAAAAAGGGAACTCTTTCTTTGACAAGGGCTCGTTCCACATCTTTATTAGTTTTTCTCAGCATTAATCTATTGATGGATGGTTAGGGGTTGTTCCACATTATTGAATTGATTCAGAGTTTTGGAAAAACCGTCGAGTGTCGGATTGTTCAATTATTGCCTGCAGTCTGCACAATTAATAACAAGCTCTTGCTTCGAGGTTTTCACCTCAATCGAAATATTTCATGTCCGAAAATATCTCATTATGTTTTCCTTTTTCCTTTTTTGTATTGATGAAAATGACGGAAAATTTTCAAGGCAATGATTATTGTCTAAATTTTGTGACTGAGTTGTAATCAACATTTTGTTGTTACCTTTTTGGGCTTCAGTTGATTCACAGCCATCTATGGAGGAAACTATTATGGTCGGCGATGACCTGATGACAGGCCCACCATCACCAGTTATTCCACCCGAAATTGCTTCTCATGTGCTTGAAGGTGTTGACTTGTGTGACGGGGTTTTGAGGAATCTATTTTTGTGTAAGTTCTGTGCTTTTATTTCTATTGTGATATTTTGAGGGGTCTGCTTTTTCCAAAATTTAAAATGAGAGTATTTCAAATTCCTAGTCTGTAGGTCATCACTGTATTAAGCCTTTAAAGTAATTGGAATTGGGGTTATCCGTAGTCCTTGTCAATAACCCTGAAATTCAATCTGTGTAAGTCAACTTCTTCCAGTCTACACCAAAGCTGGATCTACAAGTGACACCGTTGAAAGTTGATTGAACTTTTTGTTTATATCCCCTTTTTACATCCTAATAAAATGTTTAAAAAACTCTCCTCGGGGCGCACCTAGGCGGCTTTCAAGGCGGGGCGGTGGTGGAAACGCCTACACCCTGTGTAACAAGGCTTAAACATGCCTAGACGTGGTTGAGGCATGCCTAGGTGGCTGAGTCGCGCCTCAGGCATTTGGCTAGGAGTTCCCAGGACCCTTCATCGATCCGAATCCTTGCTTGAAATTTCCTGGGACCCTCGAAGTCAAAGGCTGGGCTGGCTCTGTGTTGTGCTGCAGTGGCATCTTCATGAAAAAGATGACCACAAAGAAGAAGAAAGATTGGGGTTTTTTTTTTTAAAGACTGCCCCAAAATGATGTTGTTTTGGCCAAGTCTAAATTTTTTTTATGACCCCGAGCAGGTCCCCCCTTCTTCCCCATCCCAATACCGGGATCTCCCATTTACAATTCACCCAATTCCCCAATTTTACCCCAATCTCATACCTCAATTTGTTCCAAAATTATCCACACCACCACTATTTGTTTCAAAATTCATGTAAGTTTGTTAGTATTCTAATTTTAATAAGGTCACTGGTCAGGTTGATTGCTTGTTTGATTGTTGATTAAATTTTAGGTCCCGTAAGGCTTTGCCTCACGCCTCAAGGCTTTCACCTAGGCAGGGTTATTCATGAAATGCCTCACCTACGCCTTCGCCTCTTAAAACATTGTTAAAAATATACATAGGCTGAACCAGTTTCTTGACTGTTGGAAAAATTGTCAGAGACACCTATGATGACATGGTACTTTCCTGATTACCATAAAGTTTTGTTGGTAGGTAGTACATTGTAGTGATTATACTTTACACTGCAGGCCTGCAAATCAATGATATTGAGCCCTTCTGTCAAGATGAGCTTGTTATGTATAAACAGTGCGCTGAAAAAAGGGTGAGATGTTTACTATGAATTTTGTATTCTGCGTCTCTACAATGTTCATTTCGTGTATTGAGGTAGGATTGATTATTTGATTTTCTGCTGTTTCGTTTTTTTTGCACTGAATTGCAGGATAGGGAACTAAGAAAACGACTTCAGGACAGTGAGCGCAAACTAGGGTTATCAATGCCTTTAAATGAAGCAAAGGAAAGAGCTTCTCAACTCGAAAAAGAGGTCACATCATTAGATAGGTATGTTCTCAAATGGTTAGTGTAGGGGTCCTTGCTTGATAGGTGTACTATCATGTCGTGTTTTAGTTCAAGCAATGAGTTGTAGGCCTCACCAGTCAGCCTAGCTTCCACCTTATTTCCTTTTTGTAGTAGTCTTCCTGATAATGGTTCCTTGATTCATTCATTCATACGTTCATGTGCGCTATGCATCTGCCAATGGGTTTATAGTTATATAATTCCCTATGGTTAGTTTTTGCTTTAGTTATGTTTCAGGAGTTCACAAAAATTGCAAATTTCCAGAGTTGTTTACAAACTTTAGTTCCAACTTCCAAGTATGATTTTCTTCATTGTCTGCCTAAGCTAAATCCTTTTTAAAATTCTGTGGATAAGAGCTAAATGATCTAAAAGTTGCATAAGTACCTTTTCGTGTTGTATTTGAAATCTTAAAGTCTTCTGATTACCCTGTGCTATGGATAACACCGGTACTGTTGTCCTTTTATCTTTATAGAACCATAATTGTTTTAGTATGTCTTGCTTCATCGCCTTTATTTATATGAATCTTAAGCATTATTGACTTTGGAAATCATTATGTTTCTTAGGCGTTTGATTCTTGCTAGTGGACTTGAAGGCATAGACGGATTTCGCCAGAGATGGAGTTTGCATGGTCGCCTTACAGATACCAAGTATGTTATCTTGCAAATAATTAAATTTTCGTGAGTAAACTTGAAAGGATTTTTTTGTTGACAACCAATACTTGATTGCTCTCTACTGCACATGTATGTCTATTGGTAAAAGATGACGGTTTCTAGATTTCCTTTCTCTTTTTCGGAATCTGTGAATAATCAGTTGATAGATTCAGTATTTGATGAACTATAATCCTTTACTCATTCCGTTTGTAAACTTTTTTCTTCCTTTTAGTTAAATCTTTGTATTATCCATGCAACCATGCCAATTGATTCATATTTGATGAGCCATCACCTGTTCATCATACAGTCTTAAGTAATGTATGGACCTCTATCCTCAATAGCATTACAATAACTGTGCAGGAAAAGGTTAGAGTCCTTGAAGCAGGGAATGGAAAGCAGGAAAAAGGACTAAGCTAGCGAGTAGCGGGGCACATGACTATAGTAATATGGTTCTCCCGGTCAAGTTTCATGCTGCATTTGTGGAAATCGACCTGTCGGTGTGCCTAATGTGGGTGTGTCTAATATTCTTATCATGTACTCAGTTTCGAAGGATTCATATTTATTAGAAAATCTTGTGCTCTTGAATGATTGTGCAATAATGTACTTAGAAAAAACCACACTGAAGAAGTGAATGGCCAGCGGCCGAGCGTAGATTAGCGAACGTCTTGAATTTAATTGGAAATTAGTTGTTAGCTCGTGACCTATGAAATACATTGGTCATACGGAGAAGTTTTTCAGTGTCCGGTATTTAAGCTGGTACTTCGTGTTATAAAATAAGTAGAGGAACACTTAAAAATATATTATTTCCTCCACTTGGTTGGAGTACCCCTTGAAATCTCTTAGCCATATAATAAAGTTAGGCTTAACGTTTTGCCCATTGGACGGAGACGGACTAGCATTTGAATTGAAACTCACTTTCCCACCTAAACAAGGCCTATATATTTGAGTGTGTGTGTAAAATAATAATATTTCAAATCTTGTGTTTGATCAAATTAAAAATTTGCAGACTTTGAGTTTTTGTCTAAATACAATAGCTCATTAAGCTGAGCGGCTGAATCGAACATTTGTAAGATTTAATTGTTTTATATAATTTTGTTAAACAATAACAGTACAGTTGCTTTTGTAGAAAGAATTTTTTTTAATTAAAATTGTACAAATCTTATCTTTGATCAACTATGTCACAAGAAAGATTGAATGGGTTAGCTATTTTATCAAATGAAAAGAATTAGTTGAGAAATTAGATTATGCAAACTTAATTAATACATTTGCTTCTATAAACGCGAGATGTATAATATTTAAGTAATGTTTGTATATCTTTATTCTTTTTATATTAATTTTTATGACATTTGACAATAGAAATGGACTTTTTTCATATATTTAGCAAATTCTCTTTTATACATATCAATTTACAAAGGGTATGAGGTCAAATAACTCTAGAGCCCCACTTCAAAGGCTTGCCTAGGACCTCTAAATTCTTAGTGACAGCCCTACACCTAAAGTTAACATTATTACTTAACTTCCAAGTTTCACATTGCCAACATCTAATATGTTTGTTGACGTGGCATGAGTTTTGCTTACGTGTGATCTTAGTTGGCGCCACGTAGATAAACGAATAACGAAAAATTCTGTATACAATATTTGATTGCCAGATTTACCAACTAAGGAAAAGAACTTAGTACCATGCTAAAGAAAGGAGGGGAGGAGGTGAATTCCCACATTAGAAATCCATTGGTGAAAAGGTTAATTAGTAGAGAGGGGTAGGAAAATAAGAAACTTAGGTGCAGACAACTTCAGCAAAGGGGCAAAAGTGCACGGAAGGTTATCAAGAGTCCCAAAACACACGCGGGGCCAGTAGGATCGGCAGAGGGAAAGAACCGACGGAGGGAATTGTTAGTTCTATGGCAAGAGCCAGCAAAAAAAATCTTGATTCGAAAAAACACATCTTTTTGTGGGATGATGCTTGAGGGTGAGGTTCAATGTGTTTAGTTTGAAGTCAAGTAGCTGATTTACGGGGTTGTATTCAATTAGGATTATATGAGATTTTAAAGGAGTTCGAAAATTTATGGGTATTCAATTAAGATTTTAATCGAATTAGTGAAATGCAGGTTGTATTTGATTTGGATTTGAAAAGAGTCGGTCAAAGTATGGTGGTATTTAATCCAGAATTTTAGAATAATTTTTAAAATCTGAGAGCATTCAAAAAGTCAAGGAATTTGTAGGATTTAATAAATTTGTTGATTTTGATGCATTCTAGAGTGTGAGGTGTAAATATCAAAGTCCCTCACAAATCAGGCACCCCTCCTCCATATTTCAAGCTGATAAAATATGAACAGCATCCTCAAAAACCTTTCTCTAGGTACTATATAGACAATATGTTATGTGTTTGTGTCAATAATTTGCATTTTGAGTACGACAAATTTGATTACATAAATCTCTCTTTTTATTTCTGCGATTTTATAGTTTGCAAGACAAGACATGTGGTCAGCGGTTTTATCAATGTTGTAATTATGAAAAAATAGATGGCTTTAATTTGAAGATATGCAAATTGTTAACCTTTTAATATTCTATTCTTGTATTTTTCTTAAGTGATTATGTACATAAAATGGCTCGAAATATGAATGGGGTAATAAAACAATTCAGGACGACTTGTTGGAGGAGGAAGACATTGAGGGGAAATAGGGGATGAAGAAGTTGAGGAAGATGAGCAAGAAAGTGAATGGAGGATGACGAATTAGAGTAAGAATTGAATTTGTGGCTTGCATTCCAATGAGTTCAATAAAGATTTTTTACTTACAAAAAAAAAAAAAAAAAAAAAAAAAATTGCCCAATAACTCCATTGGACTCCATAAAAATCCACTAAACTTCGAAACGAAATTCATATCAAATCGTTTTATAATTCATTGAATTCTGTATGAATCAATTAAAATTCATGAAATCCGTGAAAGTTTATAATTACATTAAACTCTATTAGATTCCTAATTGAATAGACCCTCCTAAATCGAAAAAGAACTAGAGGGAGGAGGCCTCCAGATGAACTCATCATCGCACGAGCGCCCTTATCCTTTGGAGAAACCTCCACAGGAACCACACACAGTAAGTTTTCATATTGCCAAGCATTGTTACAGGTAAAATAACCAACCGTTAAATTCCAATCAATGTCAATTGATTCCTCGAATTTGAGCACGCGATAACTTAGAGAAATCAACTCGAATGAAGGGTCGGCATAGGTTAAGAAAGATGTATAGCGAGTGTGAACCATCTTTGAAATTTAACATTATTTTGACCATTTACAATATCATCTGTTACACATTTTATGTACAAGTGAAAGGGTAGTGCTCCCTACAGAGGAAATTCCTTCTATTGGTTGCGGCATTTGAGCTCAACACAAATTACTTGCACAGATTGTGCTACAAATCGATAGCTATAGTACCTCGCTGAATGCCCATCATTTCTGCGTCACACATTTCTGTTCATCTTCAAAATATAAGAAATCTTGGCTGCTCCCTTAAGAGTTATTCATTTCTAAAATCCATTCAATGCACTCTTGGAGAAGTTGAAATTTCTGATGAATGGCAATCTTCCAAATTAACTCCATTTGGGTATGAAATTCAGCTGCGTTTTGTCTGCACTTATATGTGCCAGCGCATACACATTGCTCTGCTAAACGTGCAGCTTTAACTTGGTGACACCTGAGGCATTGGAGATCCTGTAGTTGGTAGAGACGCTCTCTCTGCCGCACAATCTGAAGAAGGCCGTTCTCCATCACCTCTTTGTCATAAAGCTGCCCACATTGTGGTACACAACAACGCCACTCCCCGGCTAGAAGAGCTGAGTCGCGGCACAAGTCCAGGTCTCTACAGTCGTTGCAGTAGCTGTCAATATGGCAAAAAGAAGGGTAGATATCAATCAACTTGAAAATTTCACGTTAACTAGTTCCAAGAAATTAAAGCAAACTCGGAAAGATTTTAAAATTCTCCAATTTATGAAAGAAACGAAGAAGAAATTAAGATTATGGATAAGCTTGAAAAGCGACCACGATAAATGAAACACTGGGATGACTTGTGTTTGCACAATGGAATCAAGTAGATTTTGCAGGGTAATCTAATTTATAAATGGGGGACAAAGTCAAGAACCACCATCTAACCGGATGTGTTTCCTCAAAATAATAGCAGCAACCATTCGACCAAAATACAAAAGGCCAACTACCAATACCATTATGTGGCTTGAAAATGCACAAGCACTAAGAAACCTTATCGAGTGCAATCTGTAAATTACAATAGGCCATTGCTTTTTTACTTATATACCTGCAAATGACATTTGGTAAAGTGAAGGTTGCGCCGGGATCACGAAACTCTGCTTCAGGGGCAAACTCCCTCACACGTACAATCTTCAACAGATTCTTTCTCATTACCTGAAGGGTAAGGACACAAAGTGAACTTTACTTCATTTGCAAGAACAAATACAAAACAATTCCAAAACTTCACTAATGTGGGTAAAAGTTAAGGCAGTTGGATGTTTGATAATCTTCAGTTGCACCTAGATGATTTAAAAGATAAGAAGGAAATTACACCAACAGATTAAAAAAATTGGTTCCTTCACATGTTCAGATATACATTCGGGTCCAAGGGAGACTACCACATGTGTGACTTAGTAGCTAAATGGATGGCAAACTAATCAGTGAAAGGGGTGCGAATAGAGTTTCCCTATAATTAAAGCATCCAATTTTGTGCAAATGTGATTAGGACTACATGGCATATGATTCAGTAGAGCAAATAATACCAGAACATCATGGATAACATTTTGGTCAATGGAGAAAACACCGCAGACGTCCTTAATGAACTCCAGTGCTGCATCCCCTTGGTGGATATTACCGGCAATTTGTGGCAGCCCAAGAGATGTATCATGGTCATTCTCTGATTTTTTCAGTTCCTTCATATGAAGTATCGTATCATGAACAATTCCCAGAAGTTTATCTGTAAAATATGAGCTGATCTGTGGAACATAAACCAGAACTAATCAGATCTTAGACAGTAAACCAATAAGCTGCACAACTTTTTCAAGAATATGTCATCATTCATACCTGTCCTTTAAGGAAATCTATCATATGAGACTCAAAAGTCTCAGCATCTGCTACAGTGATTGATGGTGTGCAAATGCTGTCATTCTGTAAAGATGTTCTAACTGCTGCCTGCTTTTGTGCGTAGTCCCAGGGAATATACAGAAATTGAGATACAATATAAACAAAGTGGTCCTGCAAAATGAAACCTGTATATTATTAACCAACCATGATCTCAAGATCTACTGCTTGAATTGAAACCTGAAGTATGATTATAACAATTTCTTGGTCGTTCAGCATGCATACTAGGGCAAACTAACTATTTTTCAGTAACTAACCTGAATTTTCTTGGGTAAGTATTCAGCAATATTCCAGCTTGATACAATATCCATTTGAGCTTCACCATCCATGCTTCCTTCATCTCTAACCGGAATTCCACCATAGTTATACTATCATAGAAAGCCATGATGACTCAGACCAAAGCGAAAAGATAAAGAAAGGCACGGGGAACACAAAAAAGGTTCTAACTTATTAGTTCAACCATTAAATGCATAAATGTCAAACACTTTAATATCCACTAGTATCTTTATGCTTTCCTAGTAATTTAATCAATATTTATCTTCCAAAATGACACAATTTATGAGGCGCCAGCGGGCCCCGCAAAATAGAGCAAACCCACTAATAATTGACATTCATGGCAGAAATGGAAATCATCTGTTAAGAGTATCATTATAAACTGATGTACATTAAGGAAGAACTTTTGAAGACTTTCAAGTAAGGATGTTCTTATTTAAAAATGAAGGGCAGTACCCCACAATGCAGTTCAAAATTGTAATCGCCTTTATAGCCATCCATGCAAAATATCAGCCATATCAGAAACTGCTTGGTCATATAATATTGTGCTGACAAATACAATCTGTCATGATCTTAACCAAATGGTTAAACAATTCCGGATTCATAATATTTTTTCACATGGATCATCCTAGAAGGATAATCTAAAAATTGGACACGTTTGCTCATTTGAATGCATGATAGAGATATGAAGTTTTTTTTTTTTTTTTTTTTTTCCTAAAGTGCAAACATTGTCACTCGAATCTTCCTTGTACAAATAAAAATTGACAGTTCTGCTCGTAATTAGAGAGAGAGAGAGAGAGAGAGAGAGAGAGAGAACCTGGTCCATGAAAAGAAAAGAATGCCAGAAGTGTAGTGGTTCAAGCTCAATCCACTCAAATAGTTCTCTACATATCAATCACAGGGAATTACAACAAGAAAGATGAAGTATGCAAAGAAATGTTCACTTGCCAGACAATCTGACAACATAAATTGCTTATGCTGCTAGATTGTGAATCTAAAGTATGGACCATTGAATTGGTTGATTCTTAATTAAATCTGTGCTCTAGATTCACATTTGGCAAGAAAACATTACCTGACACAAAAACCAAGAAAAACAACTCCTAACTCATACCAACCTCGTTTGCAGAGTTTTAAGCAAGCTATCACAATAAGCTTTGGCAGCTGACAGATCAAATTTTCCTGTGTCTATGATGACCTTGTAGAAATTCGCGAATATTATCTTGGCACCCAATTTGCGGAACTCAGTCGTTAAAATTGCAAGCACCTTTTTCATGACCTAATAAAATTTAACAGCAGAACAAACCATAAACCGACTGATTACGTCCTTTTTCAAACACAAACGGACTTATATTCATTAAATCAACCAGTTTTAAGAAGAATAATAACTTTGACCAAGCTTCTTAACGTTGTGAAAAGGCCTACAATATTTTGCAAACATTATCTAAAGCATTACAACCCTAATTCATACTATAATATCTATACAATGTCAAAAGGTTTGTAGCTCAAGTGGTTAAAAGAAATTACCCTTGCACCCAAGGTCCTGAGCTATGTGCAACTCCCCCTCCCTCATTTTTTGCATGTTTAAAGGAAACATAGAATGTTGTAAAAAGTGGATGTTATTTACTAAAGATTTACCTTATGAAGTATGCGGTGAAGAGCTGGATCATGAAGCTTAGACTGGGGGCTGCATTACGAAGGAACCAGCACGTATATGAGTCAGAACTAGAGGAACGAGTAACAAAAATTGGAACAATCCTACATATTGAAAAAAGAAAATTGAAAGTAATAATTATAGTATTTTGATAGGAGGGGAAGTAGTAAGTATGTGTGATAGAAAATGAGGTATTAAACAAGAGATGGAAACCTGCAAAGCCATCGATATAAATGTTGCAATAATGCATCAGCGTAAACATTTCCAGACGTAACTGCATTTGAAAGACACCTCTGAATCAACTGTTTCAGGACTCGGAATGTAGGAGCACATGAGGAAGCTTCATCAAAGCCAACATGTGCATCAAAAGTATGTACTCCCGAGTTCATGTCTGATTCAAATCCTAGCAAAGAACCTCCTTCAATTTCATTCACCTGGTTGCTTTTTAAGAGAGCATTTACAGCCAGGTGATGTATCTACACGGAAACATCATATGCTTTTTAGTACAACTGACTCATATTTCACACTTGGAAAAGAACAGGTAGACAATATTTCACGACCTTTAACTCCACGGTGACCTTCCTATATGCTCCAGGGTAAGAAAAATTAAGTTCACAGACCTGTTTCACGAAAGCCACAAATAAGCCAAGTAACACAGAATCAAAATATTTTCTTCCTGAGAGACAATTAATACTTATATATTAGTTAAATACATTATTAGAAGGGATGGGTCCCATTTTCTTTTCTTAACACCTTAACGCCCTTGTATATCTATTTTGAGACTAACCTCATCAGCAAAACATGAATCTTCTTCATTAATGCCTCCTAGATCTGGAATACCATCATCAGATATCCAAAGCACCTGTAAACTCAATATTCAATATTCTAAGGATGGGGAAAAGTTTCAAAGAACAAAGCAAGCAGAAAAAACGAAAAGTGGAAAGTGGAATTGGACATTTGAATCCAGAACCTCCGGCAAACCAAAGGTTTGATTGTAAGTTACGATGGCACAAGATTAATTGCTTGAGAATAAATCAATAATTTATATCAAACTATCAAGCTAACGTTGAAGGGCTTCAGTCTTATTGCTACAAAAGTATGTAGTACATCTGAAAGCTTAAAGATAATGTATAAGATATTGGGTCAAAGAAATACCTGTTGTTGATCACGTAGTGCTCTTGAAAAGAAAATATCTGCTGTATGTATAAGCCAGTCGAGTTCGAAATTTCCCAATGGAACCTGCCCCAGTAAATTTGAGAAATTTATTTATCCACTATAAACAAGTTAAGAGAAATTTTTTTTTTTTTTGTACGGAATATAGTTATTACATGAGCATATCTTGAGAGTGAAATTCTCTCATTCAACCACTGAGGTGATGCAGCACAGCGCTGCATTCCAATTTTTGCAGCCACTTGCTGCCACCCAAGAACCTATATGAAGCAATAAAATCCTTTCAGTCTGATGCATATAAAAAATGCACTTGAAGAGTGAACTCTGTTAGATCGAAATAAATTACCTGGTAAAGACTATCACGAGCATTGGAGGGAATGCTCACGCAAGGAAAATCATCAAGAGCTCCTATACATGACTTCATCAATTGAAAATTTGGGCATTCGATAACAGCAATTGTAGGTCCGGAATGTTCATGTCTGCCGGACATCAAAACCACACAAGGAATTAACCAAGCTTCTATATAACATTCCAGTATAAACTGCAAGAAAATTGGTAACCAACCCAGTCGAATGGCATATCAATAAAGCTCCAAGTAGAAATCATAAAATGTAACGTTTAAATAGTCAGTGAAAGATATATTAACATTTGCTTCCAACCGTGAGAAACTATTATACATTCTCTGACCAAGAAGCACTAGCTTACCTGCAACTTAAATTGTAGTTCACAAGTGTCTTATAAAACATATGTTTACACCCACCCACATGTATTGGTAAATTAGCAAGATTGTAATTTTAATTGAGAAATATTATTATCCATTCACTTTGAGCCCAATCAGAGCTTCTCTCAAATATATAGATGCCTGGAAACCTATCCTTATGGTCAGGCAGAAACTCTGATAGATAGAATGCTATTGTCATGGAAAGCAAACAAGATTTCTCCCTTGAGATAGCCCCCTTGCAACAATGAAAAATCATGGAGTCAAACCTGTACTCATTAATTGCACGGTGCAAAATTGTTTCAGCATCCTTGACGAATCCAACATAGTCCACCTAAAATTAGCTCACAAGATAAAGAGGATGAATATAAGAGCCACTGAAAGTTAAAAATAATAAATAATAAAAAACCAGGAAATCTTCACCTGAAAAAATCGGTGTGTTTACCTTTATAATGATACCATTCCTAGGAGGTGGCTGAATTGATAATGTTTGGCATGCATCACGGAATAGTTTTTCCAGAAAAGATGGTGACAAATCTTTATTTTGATAAGGATTTACCACCACAACCGTTATTGTTGCCGATGCAGGAAAATAGGCAATATATATAGCTCGCCCTTCAGATGTGCTGACATTAATAAAATTTAACATTAATTGCTATATATTTCTCTGAAGAAGATGAAAGCACAGAACAGATATGGATTTGGAAGAGCAGACAAATTATGATCAAAATGCATCAAGTCTGATTAGAAAAGAATGAAAATGGTCAACAAAGAAGATAACAAAGCAAGTTGCTCACAATATGAGAAAACAAAATCAAAGGAAGCCGGAGTGCGACATTAAATAAAGGACTTCTGTAGTCTGTGACTAAGAGACATTGACTTCTAATACTAGAAATTAACCCCCTATAATAAAATAATAAAAACATGGGAAGTCAACTATTTATCCCCCTTTGAAAGCAGTAAAAGAACTAAACAAAAATCCTATTACTAACATTTTCTTCAACGTATTTCTGTATAAAAAAATCCAAATCCACAGAAGAATTGGCTACTGTCTTGAGACCCACTGGAATTTTCCAAAACTTCCGCAAGTTCTGCCCCTGATATGATAGAGCAAATTATGGTTATTAATGCGCCACTGATTCAAATATTAAATACATTTGTACGGGGAAAACCTCCATGAGATGATTTTTCAGTCGCCTCAACGAGTTGCCTTCAACTGGATAAAATGCACAAAGCAATGGCTCTATAGAATGACAAGTGGAATTTCTCTTTTTTGGAATTGAGAATTACAACACAATTTTAACTAGAACTGCTATATGGCAAATTTGCGAGTGGCTTGTAACTCGGTTAAGAGCATTTTCCCTTGCACCCGAGGTCCCGTGTTTGAATCTCACTCCCCATAGTTTAACGAAAAATTATACTGATTGTTTGTTAAAAAAAAAAAAAACAAAAATACTAGAACTGTTATATTTTTATAATTCAAGTCTTGAAAGACTTTTAATTCAACCTCTCACATCAGAAATAGCAAACGGTGACCTTATTTTATTGTTTTGAATTGTATAATCAATATCCCAGCCCCCTCCAACAAACAATAGAAAAGGAGGGAGTGGGTGGGTGGAGCTGCCTCGTTAATGTATGGAAAGTATTTAACGGTACCATGTGAAATCAGAAGACAAAAAAAGTTGCTTACTGTGAAAATTTTCGACATGGAAACATTGCTTCACAATATCTTATAATCAAGAAACTGATTTACTGGTAACCTACAAAAACTCACCTCTGATACAAGTAAAAGAATGAGATGGACTGGTCAAGATATGAACACTCCGTAGTTGTCTTCATGTGCAGTTCACTAACAGTCCAACCATCTTGGACGTTTCTCTTCTTAGCAGTTTTATCCACTTTGCAGACACAACCAATCTGAACGATTGCATTGAACTCCAAAGGTACCTTTGTTTCATATATTCCCTGGACAAATATTTGAATTTTAATCAAACTGAATCTATCAAGAGATATCACCATTCAGAATTACAGAAGATAAATCTTAACAAACTTAGAAGAGAGAATTCTAAAATGCATAGCCTTGAGTATCATTGATTGCCAAGAAAAGAGAATTCTAATTCAGGACTACGGAGGATAAATCTTAACAAACTTAGAAGCAAAAATCATCACAGTATTCAGAACTATAAAAGAGAAATCTTGACCAGGTTTGGGTTAATCGACTGAACGAAAATTGTGAAGGTGAAGTCAAGGATGAAGTAATTCATGACCGATACCAAAATTGTAAACTTAATAAAAAGTGAGGGGGATAGTTGATATGAAAATCATGAACTGACCTCAACTTCTGGATCGCCAAGAAGAGCTGCAAGCTTTTTACTAATTGTCCTAAACCGACCCTCATCAATTGCAGCCTATCAATATTTGTAGAGGAAAAGAAAGGATATTAGACCTCAGAAGAAAACAAGTAAAGAACCACAATTTAGCAACCATAAGTACCTCATATAGGTGGTAGATATGCCTTCCATGAGGAAGAGCCTTTTTGACATCCTTTCCTGGAGGTATTTCTTCACATATCTTTTCAAATATCTTTTCAATAGGTGCTTTAGAATTAATGTAAAAAACTCTTGGAACAGTAACAGGAATCTTAATCATGATTCCTTCAGTAACCACCCAAGCGTAAAATTGGTCACCCTGAGAACTAGGCACTAGTTGTAAAATCTGAACCACAGAAATTAAGTAGTGATTAGATAATTATTCAGGGCTTTCCAGCCAAATTGATGAATTAAATGAGAAATACCTGCCAATGACAGCGTGTTAGGGTATCTTCATGCCTTGTAAAATATGAATTCACACCTATTTTTCCCTGAGTTCCTTTCTGCTTTCTACCACCACCATGCAGCTCATTATTAGCATGGTGAGCAGACCTTGTGTTATTTAATCTGTCAAGTTGGATGGCAATTTTCCTAAATGTTACTTCGTCAACACCATTAAGAAAATCTGATCTAAGCTCAATATAAGTACCGTTCTATGAACACAAAATAACACATGATGCTTTCATTGGAAGATCTGGATCGAGTTGGCAAGAGTTAGGGATGACAAGAACTATCTTATCAAGGGTGATAACAGAGATGGTGAGGTTAGCGCTACCTAAAACTGAAATCAAGACAGAAATCATCGTACCTGATTGAAATGATAGTATCTGGTTCCCATGAATTTTCAACAGTTGCATTCATACCCAAATCACACATCCATCCTCTTAAACGAGGCAACCGACTGTATCTTGGTAATTTATGGACTGTGCATTATTATGACTAATAAAAGCACACACAAAACACAAAGAATTGTTATTGAGGGTCGGCTAACATTGCCTACGTCTCCATTTGATCCCTAGGAAATCCAAAGCACTATGTAGAATCGCACAGATTACATGAACTTGTTGAAACCCTATATAAATCGTAAATCTTCAAAATCCTGCTGCAGATTTTCTCTCAAAAGTTTAGATCTCAAACCCATGTATGACTAGGATAATTAAAACTAGTAGAACTAGGGTAGTACTCTTTCTTTCCTAATTCTACTCCCAAACCAACTAGAAAAACAAAAGAACATAGGTCTCGTAAAACCAATAGAAACCTTAAGCGCCAATTGTATTTTTGCTTTTGGATTTCTTCTAATAAATCATAATACTGACTGGTTTTAATTAGCCAATCACAACAGCAAGTCCAAGTATCTCCATAAACGATTGAATATTATCGGATTTAAGAGTTACTGAGATTATTGTGGTTATGGCTACTATTGAATTCACAAGTTATTGCATAGCATGTACAACGAAACAGGTCCGACTTGGTTTTCATTGGTGAGCCTCCTCAGAGACAATGGAATTCTGAGGGTCCTTTGTATGACAAGTATTCCCCATAACAACCCATAGAGACTGACAAACAGGATTGAACATTATGAGATCCAACAGATAATGATAAATGTGAGATCCTAAGTAACGTAGTGATCAACATTCTAGGCATAATTTCGAGCATCAATGAAACAATAGAATGCATTCATATATGTACACAGCATCGCGGCTTGCACCTGAAATAAGATACTTGACTTTACCTTTCTACCGTTAATAAGATATGCATCTCATTCCAGGGAGGTATTAAGAAAATTTCTAGAAGTTCATGAACCTTTAGCAGATGGCACTTTGCACTTACAATTTCCCTAGGCTTTATACATATGTAATATATAGGACGGTAAAGACAAGAAAGTACCTTTGCTTCTTCCTCCTGTCAACAGTATATTTCCATTTTCTCTTCTTCATTTCAAGCCAACCATTATAATCAACATTTCTATCAATGCATTCTAAAGGGACACCATTTTGCTCTTGACACTCATTTTCTTTATTATTAGTTTGTTGTTGCTGTGAATTTATTTGGCAAGTTGTCTTGACTGAATATTTCTTGCTATTGACTTCATAACAGCGAACAATTGGTCTGGGTCCACTTATGGAACTGCTTTTTTTGTTGAAGTCTTCCAAATCATCCACAATCTCTTGGTCAATCACATGATTAGAGTCAATAGCATCACTGCTCTTTTCTAGCAAATGATCCCTGTTCAATGACTTGAAGATATCAACCAACTTGCGCTGGCGAAATTTGTCATCCTTCTCACGAACCTTCTTATGCAGCCAATCAGGATGAGCTACCCTAGGAACAGGATTTGCAACCTGAAGAAAATTCAATTGATTCACGTACAACTACAGCCACAGAGAGAGAGAGAGAGAGAGAGAGAGAGAAGTTCACAAGCAATACCTTTTGCATTGCAGCCGGAATGGTGACAATTTTCTGAATTGATGAACCAAGGCGTTGCTTGTAATAGGACCAGTCAATAATGGAACGAATGCCAACATCTGATGAAACCTTGCACCACTTCCTTACGTAAAACTTCATAATTTCTGATAAGTTGAAATACAATCACTCTTTAGAATGTTAGCAAGAAAATGCAATACCAGAAATAACAACAGAAGTTTACCAGCATCTGTTTCAAATATTGCAACTGGAACAGCACGCTCACTAACAGGTGTGCCCTACTCAAGTTAACATCACAACAAACTTTTAGATTCGCATGACCAAGAGTTGAAAAGAGATTCAAAAACCAGTATAATAGTAATACCATTTTCTTTCTCCAAGTCATTAGAGAGATATATCTACAATGGGAAAGAGAGTCATACAAGCACGGGGGAAACCAAATTGCAAAAAGAGTAAAAAAATTTAATATTGCAAGAAAGCAAGTCCAAATTGAAAAGTCCACAGAACCCTTGATTGAAAAAAAGATTAAAATTACAATCAATTCCTAAAATGCTCCCTCCATCTCAATCCCTCAAGCTCCGTCTTCTATTGTTTATATATTTGGGTAGTTGAATTTGCGGAAATTACCGTTTCAGGTCGCTAATGTGCCATGAATCGGTACACTCGACCCAATTTGGAGGAGGTCAGCAAATTGGGTTATTCAACAAGATATATTTAATCTGTGACAATATTGAATTCCCTATCATTCATATTCCTTGTGAAGGTTAAGCTCCAAGAATTCAGGTGAAGATAAGGAAGTTATGGAGACACGTTATGACCCAAATGTTTCTTTTCTTTCTTTCTTTTTGCTTCTCCTTTTTTATTTTTAGTCTTATAAGTTTATAACCATACCTAGACTTAGGGTGTGTACCCTTACCCACCTTCCAATGCATTACTAGCTGTTCTCTCAATTTCATGAAGATGATCCAATGAAACAAGTTTCCAAGTTATGTACCTTTGGTTCACATGCAACTATATATTGGCAACGCAGTCCTTTCTCTTTGACCATCGTATCACCAAGAAAATCAGCAAGACGTCTTGCAGTGGTCACTGCACATGACTTTTGCTCTCCATAGTCTACTAAAGACTTGCTCATGGTGCTTGACTCTGATATATAATCCAGCAACTCACTGTCTGCAATATCCTTTCCTTGATTCTGAGAGAATGGAGGATAAAAAAACATTGAACTTTAAACTACACATCTTTTTTCAATCTTGATTTAATCAAACAACTATTAGCATCCTTGAGTATTAAGTTATGAAAAAGAAAGTCCCTCAAGCACATGCTGGGGAATGTTTCGACTTTTAAACAAAGCAACTCTGATGATTAAAGACAGAACACTAAATGTTTACATACATCAAGGAGATCAAGCCAACGGTTGGCGACAGAAGCAACTGCAAAATAGCATTCCTCTAAAGTAGAACCGTGAAGGAACTTATCAAAAAGCTCAGCCTGAAAACAAGAAAGGTATTTCACATGTTGGTAATTACAAGCCTCATGAATTTTCAAAAGCACAAATATGTAATACTAATAAGCATTAAGCAATAGGGTATCAACGTACAATCTATTACATAAGTTTCTACTCTTGAAGAGATTAATAATTAAGGAGTCAGTTTGGCCACAATTTAGGAATTGAAATTTTAAAAGGCAGCTCTATGGGATGGCTCAGTTCAAGACTTTTTTTTCTGGTTTTTAATCATCTCCTACATATTCATTTGATATTACAAGTAAAAGAGATACCTGGAAAACTTTGATGAGCTTCAGCTCACCTCTACGCTTGATCTCGAAACCTTTAAGTTCAGCAAGGGTCCCATCATCATTAAAAACAGCATATCGCTTCTTAATTAGAATGCCTTCTTCTTTAGAAGCAGGAAGAATCATTGCCTGCATGAGAGCAATAGTTTAGATTGAAATTACATGAAAAGAAAAAGTCAAAACAAAATAAAAACATACTACGCTGTGTTACCTTGTATGGTCCATCCACTTCAAATTCAATTGAACACTCGCTATGAGTTGTGTAAGTATTCTTAACAGGATCTGTAAGAGTCTGGTAAAAATGGTGGTATGGAATTGGAAGGAATGTTATAGTTGAACAAACATGAGAAACCAAATTGCACTATTCTAAGCATTTTGGTTCGCAACACAGTGAAAAGAATCAACATAAAAAAAATGTTCCAAGCTGACCTGGTATTGGTCATTTGTATTGTTTCTCGCCACATCAACATTAAGCATTACACATGGATATGAGATAGTCAGCTTCTTCATGTCTCTGAATATGAATTTCCCATGTTAGTGAGCACCTTTGGAGGAATAATATAAACACTTACCTACTCGAAGGGAAACTATTATCACAAATTAAATGACCAGAGAACACCTAGATTATTTTTGTTTGAGTATAATCAATGGTTATACACATACCAAAGCTGGATTACCTTATGGTATCCATATAACCAAGTGAACTAAGAAGAGAAAAATCATACTTTGTTTTGAATGTAAAGTTCTCCGGAAAAGATCCAGGGAGTGCACACCAGATACCATCTGTGTCTAACTCGAGAGGTTTTCCAATTTTCTCAACCAGCAAGCGAGCATTCTGAATAATTTTGGCTCCGGTATATGTAACTACTCCAGCCATTTCCATGGAATACCATCTTGCACCCCTGAATTAACGTATAAAAGCAACAACAAATGATAACTAGAAGAGAAAACCAAGTAAAAGCAAATATTGTTGTGATTTGACTCGTCAAAATACAAAAGGCCAAACAGGTGTAGGTTTCCAATTGGAGTTGGGAAAGGAGAAAAAGGAATGTGCACAGGTTTTTCCCATAAGAGTTGGCAAATAAGTTTTCTCCAGAAATCCCAATCAGTTAAGGATTAGGAAATAGGTTAGTTTTCCCTTTCTAAAAGGATTTAGAAATCCTATACTTGTAAGGCATGTAACCGTCGGTCGATACACTATTTATAGGCTTGTTGGGGGCTGTTTATTCACATGAACAGCAGAGTGAATACAAGGGCAGAGAATCAAGAGTGAAAGAGATATCTAAAGCAAGGTTTTGGGGTTTAGCACAAGGGGTTTTCAATAAATATTTGTAACCGAGTTGTTATTCTCCATTGTGCAGGTGATTTCTCAAGAGAGATCACATGAGGAATAAGCAAAACTCGCTGAACCTTGCTAAATTCTTTGTGTTTGTGTGTGCCGTGTTTACTTTATTGTTCATATATTAGCGAAGCATCATCTTATTAGTTTGCATAACACCGGAGACTATCAAATGTCCTAAAAGAATACAAAACAGAGAAAAGATATTCAACTCACTTGCGCATGACATATCCATAAAAGGAATTAAGTATACATTTATGTGCAAGTTGTAATGAATCATAAAGCACTACCATATCCTGCAAACAATTTAAAGCCAATAGAAACATGAGACCAGGTTCTATTTAATAAGCTTTATTGCAAGTAAAATTCAAAAACAGAAAAGGAAAGAAGGGGAGAGAGAGAGAGAGAGGTTTAAAATTTTCATACTTGTGCTTCCTGGATTTTTATAGAATTTCCACTAGCCTTGGCTTCAGACAACTTCCCCTTCCAAACCTTATTAAGCCCTTTGTACTCATACCTTCTATCTCGAAAGCTTGAAGCAGATTAAAAGAACACACAATTCAGCACAAATGAGAGAAAAAGAAATTTTACAAAATCAATTATGTTCCAAAATTTGATTAGTAGATTCGATATATTTCCGAAGAAGTTTTCTTCTTATTTAGTTTTTAAAGCAGAAAATGGCTGCTCTTTATAAGATGCATATGGAAAAATTTATAATATAACAAAATCAAGCTGCTCACCTACGAACTGTATCAACATAAAATGAATTTTCCCTCATGCATATCCCTGCTTCTCGAACTTCAGTGACTGGCTTGTCCACTACTCTTCTATACGCCTATCCAAAATTTAGGACTGTTAGGTATTACTTGATAAAATATTGTGAAGAGTAAAGAATATACCTTCTGACAGTATTTTTTAAGACGCTCTTTGAGCCTTGACTGTTGTTCCATTTTAGGCAGCTCAAGAAAAGATTTTGACAGCTTGGAATTGCCACAATCAACAAACTCAGACTCAATTTGCTTCTTCAAATGATAATAGTCACTGAAATTTTTCAAACCATATTCATACACAATAATTAGTAACTCAGTTGATAACCCAAAAGTACAGACAAGGAGAGAAGAAAAAAAAGGAACATATTCGAAGAACATACCTTTTCCTTGCCATGAATATTTCTCCACGCCAAACCCATTCAAGCTTGCGAAGACATGTTTTGCCTGGATGGTCGAAATCACAAGCAGTGCAAATCTCGTCTGTAACTATTGATGATGGCTGGAAATAAACAACTGTCATTACAATGTAACATTTATGGAATCTTCAAACACGCAAACAGAACACCTACAGCAACAATCTGACAATGCAAATGGGAAAGAGTACAATCTTGATGACAATATTGGTGATGGACGTTTCTATAAAAAGTTCATATGTTAACATCATTCCTATAGAAATTAGATAACAGATATGAACAACATAAATCAATGACCCCCTTTTAGTGGACTGTTTGCTACAAATGAAAAGGCAAACAGCAGTTATAAACTGAAAAAGATAGATAAAATGTGTGAATCATATAAAATTGAGATCAGAAATTGCTGAAAGTAATTTATTAAACAGCACACCTGAAGTCTGTTTGTCAAAATGATGTTGGGATACATTGCAGCAACATCCAGATGATAAATAAGGGGGCACTCTTCACGTATAGGTTCATCTCGCAACCCCATAAGCTACAAATTAGTAAAAGGAAGTCACTAATGAGAAAATATTGAAAAGAATATTACCACCCTAAGCATATTTCAATGAACATTCAGTCTTGAAAACTAGCGACTAATTAGAAAAGGATTCAAATTCAGCACAGTAGAAAGTTTGGGTTGTTCAATATCCAATTCAACTGTTTCAATGAATTTTGCATAGGATGACAGATATCCCCGTGAAATCCAACTTAATCCAATATAGTCTGCCACATGCTAAACTAAGAAATCACGACAGATGTGATGGAATTAATTTGGGTATTTGCAATTGTATTTTTCTTGGTATTCAATTTTTATGTGCACTTTATATTATTAAAATGCATAATTGGATTGGATTTGATGATATCATGATAATCTTTTTTATAACAACAACCAAGCCTTATCCCACTAAGTGGGGTCAGATTTATAAATTCTAAAACGCCATTGTGCTATGTTCCAACTAAATACTGCTTGATTAAAAGATGGATGATACTTTTTTGGACTTGATAGATCTTATAATCGAAACTCACAAAACATACTCAGATATGTGTCCAGGCACCATCATACAAGAAAATATCTGCTCGAAAACAAAGTGAACAGTACCTTTTCCAATATAGAACTCTTCACATCTTCATAATTGGATACTGATTCCAAGTCCATCTTACCCTCTACTCTTATAGCATATTTAAGATCTCGATCAAGATTGTTGATCAATTGCTGGAAATCAGAATTCCCAAACCATAAATTAAATACAAAATTACAAATGTATAATGGGTTTTGTAGCATTTGTAGTTAGTAGCAGAGTTATCTCAAATGCGTAGCATCGTCATCCACAGGGGGAAAATTGATTGACTATCTGGAAATATTACAAATAGCAATGAAATCAAGAAAAAGCTATCCTACAAATAACTGCAGAAACAAACACTGATCATTATACACTCATATAAGCCAAAATTACAGGCAGAGAACACAGATTATGCACACTACTACCACCAACAAACCGTTTGAATAATATGCAATCCATGGGAAAAACAGAAAACTGCATACATATGTGATTGCTTGCATAAACAACATACATAGAATTCTCCAAGTTTTCAAATGGAAATTATCGATACATGGATTCTAAATGTAGTGCGATTAACATTTTTTGTATAAATTTCTTTCTTTAACATTTTCTGTTAAAAAAAAAAAAAAAAAAAAAAAAAGAGAATGTTTACACTGATAAAGGTGGGTGAAACTGAAACATGATTTGTGAAAAATATTCCAAGTTTGCAAGAGGCAAATACAGATAATGCAGTAAGGACTTAGCATGTGTTTCCACGTTTTCCACTGCAGAAGTAGTTCAGATTATATTGGTTCTAGGAAGTTCATTGAATGTTAGATTTGTCAAAATATTCTGCCCTTCACCCCAATTGGGTTTTGATTACATCTTGATGGTTTAACAAATTCTTTATTAGTGGACTAAATAATGTGTAGCCACCTGTTTCATTGAAAAATAGAAAATTCAATTTCAAAAAAGACATGTATTTGATTTTAGTGCCCTGTAGACAAATCCAGCTTCATAGAAAATGGGCAGTTTTCCAGCACATAGGTGCTTCTGTTTCAGAAAATTGAGTCAATGAAAATAAATCAAATTCAGTATATGTGGTGTGCTTAAGGATGTTACATAGCATAACAAATATGAGCTTCTAGTCATATGCAATCCATCAGTGGTATGGAGAGATAATGCATCGATCTTTAATATGAAGTGATGTCAAATAAATGATAATGCACAATGAAAATTTAGAAATGATGGCAAGCCAATCAATGAAACCAGAACAACTAGTAAACAATGGAAAGAAACATCGTTACTGAATGATGAAAATATACCTCATAGGCAGAGGCGTCAAGCTTGAAACTAGTTGGAATATCAGATCTAAAAACACCACTTTCAAGGCATTCAACATGGCCACCTATATAAGTCTCACTCTCTAAAAGGTGATTTTTATAGAACTTTTCCGGATCAGATTGGTGTTTATTAGGGCAAATAACATTTGCCTTGTATGCCTGCATAAAACGCAAAAAATATTTGTGGTGGAGAGATAAAGATAATAGCTGAAATATCAAAGATTATTTTTGTGGGTAGAAAACTATAGAAAGTTTGCTTGAAAAAGACAGAATAGCATCTATGAGTGCAAAATAACACACCTGGACCATGAGAAGCATTTCACAAAGAGTTCCACTACCCTTGCGCAAAACCTCGTCCGGGGACATTGGAATAATAGTTGCGAGAGAGAAAATGAATGGATGAACGTAAGTCATATACAAGTAATAAGTCGCGACGGCATCAGAAACAGAATAGGAGGCCATCATCTGCGATTACATGTTTTACATGTTCAACCAATAGAAAAAGATTATTAGAAATATTCCTGTTACAAGAATGTGAAACGCAAACATACTTCAATTGTATGTACATACACACACATATCCACCAGCATGTAATGGAAGGAAGATATGAATACAAACTGGAAACCTAATACCATCCCAACTATCATAGAAAAGAATCAATTGACCCAATATGGAAGCCAAATACCATCACAGCAGTGCTCAAGCATCAGGGTAATTGATAATTTATCAGCCAACTAAGAGTATGTCCATATAGAATTACAGATACACAAACTAACAATTTGATTAATCAATTTTTTCCAGTGAGCTTTTTACATTCGTCCAGTCATCACTATTTAACCCTTGACTGAGGCCAAATTCTACAACCGCAAAGAGACAAAAGGAAAACCTGCCAAGGTAATTAATGGATATGAGCATGCGAGCTGCAATACCATCTGTGGCACTTAATTTCCAGCTCATATTTCATGTCACCGTTACCAATTATTCAACCTTTTCTATCTCAAACACACCATGCCAAAACATTTCTGAAAACAACAGAAAATCATTTCCACTCATCCTCACCTGAGGCTTCTCCTTTGCAAAGCGAACCATATCCTCAGGATTTACCTCCAGCGGATGATAACCTAACTTTGCCTTTGTAACAGCCTGAAATAAGATTTAAATTACACATAATCAAACTTTCAATCCGCATAACAAATACATGGAAACAAATGAATATACTACTTTTTCATCTGGTTTACACAAGCATAATCCAAGTTCAAAGATCATTCTTTTTTCTTACAAAGCTATTAATTGTACTGGGAGGGAGTTGATTTCTAAATCCAAAGATGGGGGTCTGGAAATTGGAAATTTTCTGGTCAGAAACAGAGATCTATTAGCTAAGTGTTGTGTAGGTTCCTCCTTAAGAGAAATTCTTTATGGCATTCTGTAATTTTGGGCAAATACAGGTCCACCATGAGTGGGACTCAAAGACTCTTGTGAGGGGCTCTAACTGGTTCCCCTGGAATGATATTCTAGTCGTTACAACTCTTTCTTGAGCAGCTGGGAGTCCGTGTTGGGGAATGGTGAGGGTATTAAATTCTGAAAGGATCCATGGACTGGGAGAATTTCTTCATGGCCTTATTTCCTAAAATATATAATCTGTCTAGACATACAAATCAATTTATCTCAAGCACTGTCGCACAGAATTGGGATCTGGGATTTAGGACAAATCTGAGTGATAATGAAGTGGACGACTGTCCTCAATGCTGTCTATCTTGAACAAGAAAACAATGAGCTCAAATTGGATAATCATACCTTAAGGCCCTGGCTTCCTTGAGGAAGATAACTATCACGTTTGACCCATGCAAAACAGTCAAGATGGCAAGCAAATTTAGCTCGGCATTCCCCCTGATTCTTGTCACATTGAAATCCAACCTCCTGCAAGCTCAAGCGCAGGGGGAGTTAAATTAGAAGAAATAATTAGTGGAAATTTAAAATGACAATATCTCAGAGATCATTAAACATTAGAAAAATGACAATATCAATGTCACACAAGCCCTTTGTGTTGTGAAATTTTGTCAATTGATAAAAAGCACAAGTATCACAGATAACGAGGTTTCAAAGTTAATTCAAGATTTTCATGTCAGCTTGATACCTGAAATAATTTAAACTGAGTGATGTTTAATTTTTAATTTCTAATAAATGATGTGGATACAGAAAGATAGACAACACAAGTGTAAAGAAGTTATAAGTAAGATTGCACCTCATCCTGAATAAAACAAGAAGTAAAAAGCTTCATATACAGTTAATGCTTTAAATCTAAACATGAGTAGAAAGCTTCTAGCAAACTGTACCAAAACGATAGTAGTTCATGTATAGACTTTTAAATTAAAAGCACAGATGGATGGAAATAAATCAATCAATATGTTAGTCACGTGCATAAGTTTTCTGATTGGACAGTAAAGAAGTTTTGCTGAAAGTTACAAGCCATAGCCCACTGTTATTTACACAAAGAATAAGCAACTTATGCAATCACTGAAGATAAATTTTAGTTCTAGTCTTCTTGGTAGTTATTTGAAGTTGACAGCCTAGAGGTCTTGGATTATATTGTTGTTTTGTTTAAATAAAGTAACTCACAAAATTAGCAACATACATCATTCAGTTTGAACCCATGATACGCGGCTCTGGTTTCCAGGAAAGGCCAGTCGAAAAAATCACCATTGTATGTGACATAAATTCCAGGCTTCACCTCCCGCATATGGGAAAACCATTTTCTTAGAAGCTCTACCTGCAACAAGACCATATCATTTGCAAAAATGACATGTAATTAGAATTCTAAAACCCCTAATATGAACCAAACTAATTATAATATCTGCATTTGAGGGGAGGTAGGTGGGTGTTTGTCGGCATGTGGGGGTGTTGCCATGGATGTCAATACCTCATTCTTCACATTTGTCACCTTGAAAAACCCTTCAAATTCTGGTTTTGGAGTGTACTCCAAATCCTCTATATCATCCCCAACACACTGCACATAACAAAGAAATTCAACCCATCATTACATACATTCAAATATTTTATAGGAAACCTAAACCTATCAACCTTCAAAGTTCAAACTTAGTATCCCAATCGATTGTAGATAACAAGAAAATTAAACCTATCAATACATAAATATAAATTCTTTTCCTTTCATAGTAAACTTAAACCTATCAACCTTTCAAAGTTCAAACTTATTACACCCATTTAACCTAGTAGGAAAATACAAGATTGAAAAAAGAAAATAGATGCAAAACCTTGATGGTAACCCTTTATAAAGAAAGATTTCTAAAAATTCTTTCATATCCTTGCCAAATGAAAATACAAACTGTTTGTTGAATAAAGTTGAAGATAATTAGCTATGCAGGTCCAAAACAGAGGACGTTAAAAAGGAGCATCTAAACAGACAAATATAGCAGCTGCTAACATTCCTTACAACTATGCACATTTATTTATGGCCACAATCCACATACAAGAGGAATCCCAAATGCTAAACTTGGATAAGGGAAGAAATTACTAAAAGGGCGTGAATCCTACCTCTCTGTTAATAATCAAGTAACCTTGTCCATCAACCATGTATGAAATCATCATTATTAAATCATATTCAGCATCTGGAAATTTCAAAGGTAGCTTCGTCGTCTCAATATCAAATGCACAGACATGAGCTTCAGCACGCTGGAGAAGATCTGTCCTCATCTTAAGCACAGCACCAGTACTGGATACACTAATATCATACCACTGCCCGCATCGTACATCTGAGTGGCATGGAATGTGAAAGGTGATGAACTTCAGAAAATAAAGAAAACAAAAATGTCCAGAAAGAAGCAGGATAGTGTAAATCACCATTGTCAATGGCAAAGCGAACATGGTATGGAACATCATATTCACGAAGATCAACAATACAATCTAGAAAATCTTGAGTCCTTTGTTCTCTACAAAACAAGTGCCAAGAGGATCAGAAAACAAAAACAAGTTACAGTTTAATTGAACAGAAAACCAAAAGCTACCGAAAGAAAATGGCAAGGTATCATTCTAACCAAATAAAGATATCTACACAGAGTGAGCTCAACATCCAAAGGTAACAAGAATCAAGACAACATGACCTCACCGTTTCCCAATTAATATTGACTCATAAGCTTCTGCAGCATCAAATTTGGCACAGTTTCTTTCAACGACATGCAGTAGGTCACTCTTGACATTCATTAGTTGTTGAACGTTATCGAATGATAGCTTTAAGTAGGACTTGCGAAGGCCAGACAAATGATTTTTCTGTGAAGTGCAGAAACATATTTGAACACACATTGGGAAATACATATGTGAAAGCAATAATGAAGCATCATGAGAGTTACAATAGCAGCAAAGATAGGAAAATTGGATATCCATTCTAAGTATTTACATGCTGAAAGCCTCAAATAAGCTAATGTTACCATGCATACAAGGAGACATCTCAGATAAATTGTCTGAAAGGGTGAAAAGTTATAACTTATTGAAAGACCAGAATTAAACAATTATCCATTTATCTTGAGATGCTTGCCATCCATACACAGTTTTGCCGATAGCAAAACAAAAGAACCAAACCAAGACAACTAAATTCAGTCAAATGTAATCTCTTTAGATGAGTTTATAGAAATCTCTTTTGGAAAAAAAAAACAAAATTCATGCCCAAGGGCTTGAGGCAAGTTTGGAAAAAGTCTAGGAAAGGATAAATTCAAAAAGTTAAGCTGTTGGAAAATTAGGCCACCTATGCATATCAAGCAAGGAAGAACTAAGACTGGAATATGTCAGCCTGGAAGTTTGAAACCCATGGTTTCCACATATAATTAATCATAAAAGCTTTGTTGAATTGAATGAAAACAAATTGATCATGTATATCAAGCACCAAAAAATGGAAAATTTTTACAGAAAAAAAAGACAGATACTTATCATGAATACATAATAATACTTCCAACTAGCTAATGAATAGACAATGTTTTCGCAGTAGACAGAATGTCAAATTGAACTCAAACTTGCCAAAGCAAAACGTGCCTAAGATCTACCAGGCATAGGTCGAGCGACTCAAACTTGTCATAATTGAATGTCAAAATAGTTAAAAAGGAAAAAATAAGTACCAAGGACTAATAAACTTGGTCAAGTTTTATAAGGTTTCTTACGAGATCAAGATCTTCTTTCTGCATTATTTGAACATCAGCAATTTGATTTTGATAACGCCGTCTCAAATATGCTTCAACGTCCATTTCCATTTTCTCCTAAGATGAAAAAGTCATTCTCACTGTAAAGAGAACTGATGATCAAAGAAACTTTGCCAAAGCAAACATATAAGTTTAAATAGAAACCTTAGTTGCTGCATAGAAATAAGGGCGAAACTTGTATTTTGACTTAAAAGTAGAACCATCCTGCAATTAAAGTAGAAAACAGCTAAGTGATTCGCCAAAAACAATTAACCACCATAAAACATTAACCAACTGTACCAAAACTTGTTTACACAATGTCTTACCTGTGAAACGAAATACAAATCGACACAACTATATAATTTACGGGTCTCTTGATCCTCCCAAGATGACTGCAAAATTACAAGGAAGCATCCATAAATTCCCAAACGACAACACTTTATTATAACTAAACTCAAATTTCCATCATGTGGTTGAAGAAATTAAAATAAATAAATAAAAGCTGAGTAATTGTAAAAGGGCTTTTCAATTCATCCCATTTCCATATACAAATCGCTTCGAAACACAACTTTAACCTTAAAAATCCCAAATTGACACTTTCCCCTTTGCTATCTCAGCAACCAAACAGACCTCAAATAAAAACACAGATTTCTGAAATGGAAGATCAAATGGGGCAAATTTCGACCAGTAGCAAATCAACTTACAGTGGCGAAATTGAGCAACCAGCCAAGCCTGGTATCGCCTTCGGAGAATAGGTCGAACCCTAGCTTGGACTCCAGCTCCTCCTCGGCGGTGCGCATGACCTTCTTCTTCCTGGGGACCCATGAGTCGCCGTGGTCCCGCTTTCGGCTCTGGTAGCCGCTCATTTCTTTAGGCTGGTGAAATGGATATCCGTTTGAGATTTGGGGTTCAGACTTCTGAGAGACAAAAGCTGTGTGTGAGGGGAGGATTTTGGAGGGATGAAAGCGTTTTCCCGCCCTTGTACCTGCGTTATTTATTTTTATTTTATTTCAGTTCAATGACGTAAGTGCCCCTTAAGATGAGAAATTTCTGAATAGTGCCACTCATCGAAATTATGTTTGGTTAAGTCCTAGGTTAGCCATTTAGTAAGTGAGAATTCTTAAATTTGAACATCGTCAAAGATGAAGTTGGATCGCATTATTATTGTTATTGCGAGGCTAAGCGCACTCCCTTCCCTTAGTGTAGATAATATCGTTTGTTCAAAAAAAAAAATAAAAAGTTCTAGGGCAGTGCCTGTTTACATATCAGTTATACGACTCTGAAAAATATATAGTTCGTATCGTTAAAAAGTGAAGTAGTGTGGCTTTTTCAACTATTCCCTATTTTTATATGAGAACGAGTATCGTTTTTAAGAAAGATTTAGTGCACATTTGGTTACACATCTGAACATGGAGTCGTTAGACATTGAGGTTGTTTTTTTTTAGTCAAAGATATATTTTACACCAAGGGGGAGATGGGAGTTCGGCTAAGTCACACAATGAGCAATCTAATTTGGTATCGAATTCGCCATTTACGAGATTCTAACTTATAACCTCACTTACAAGTTGTTGAGCAAAAATTGTCAAGAGAACAAATAATCCACTCCAACACAATTTCACCCTCATTCATTTTTTCGAAGAGGGTTTTATTAATTTGAGTTCAACTCATTCTAGACTATGTGTCTATTAATTACAATCCTTCGTTAAAAAGGAAAAACCCTTTGATTCCAATATGAATAAATCGTAACTTAGGGATTTGGGTGTTTATTTGATTTTGCGACTGCTCCTAGGTTGAGCCGTAGATTGCCTATGTACCCTCTTGAGGGATCAAGTCACTTGTAGTTCCTTTGATTTGGTATGTGGATTTTTAGTGAGTGAATGACCCCACTAAAAAGGATTTGGTGTTTGGTTTATTTGGGTGAATTTGGTTGAATGAACCAGGGATCCGGTTTTGTGTTTGAGCTTTGCGGTTGCGTCTAGAATATGGTACTAGATTGCCTACATATCCTTGGCAGAATCAAACTAACGTAGTTCACAAATTTGTTTAGATTTGATGCCTTATGCAGTTTCAACTTATGTAGGCGAGGAGCATTTGATGCCTTGTGCAGTTTCAGCTCATGTGGGCAAGGACTTTGTGCCATTGGAGCAAAACGCAGCTTCGTGCCATTTGAGTCTTGTCGAGGCTCCGTGCCATTTGTATTGGCTTTGTGCCATTTGTATCGGCTTTGTGCCATTTGGGATTTGATGTGGCTTCGTGCCACTTAAAGTTGACACGGCATCATGCCAATTTGATATTTGACATGGCTTTGTGCCATTTGAGGCGAGGCTGGGCTTTGTGCCTCTGAGATTTGATGCAGCTTTGTGCCATTTGAAATTTGATGAGGCTTAAGTCCACTAATTTGAGGTGGTAAATTCATCAAGCTTTGTGCTTTGAGATGGTTTGCGTCCAAGACATATGAAGTAATATGTGTCCATGAGTTTGATGCCATCACCATTGTCTCAACACTTTTTGTTTTAAACCAATTTGCAACCAGTGTGCCTCAATCACATCGTTGGTCCTTTTGCCCTCTATTACTCATCCCAAATTCCAACTCATAAGGTTTAAATTTGCCAAACCTATATGAACTTATGTAGGAAGTCGTGGCTCTCTCATTTAGTTTGGTAATCAAGCCCTTTTTATTTCTTGGGAATGGAACTTTCTAAATCCAAGTAGGACTCTATAAAGGATAAAGCCACCTCTTCTTTTTATTTTTCTTCTTCCTGCTGCAACTTTTCTTTGGTGGGGTTCAAATCTTATATCAATTTTTCTTTGGCAAATTTTTGTTTTGCAGCAAACTTGTCTTTTTTCTAGGGAACCACATACATGGCATCCCAATTTGTTTTTCTCTTCATCACGTGCTATTTGCACACTTGCATTTCCTTTCTTCATGGACCTTGTGAAAAGCTCCAGAGATTTTGATGAAAAGAAAACTGCAACATCATGTCATCAACTTCGATTCAGCAACATGTCTTGTTTATTTGGAGCAACGATCAACTTGTGAGAAAGACTTTGTTCGCGCTACTGATTTCTTGTGAAATGGTTGCGTCTGAAGCTTGCACCTGTTTGTGAAGGTGACAAACTTCATCGAACGGTAGGAAACCAAAATCTTTTGTGCAGTAGATTTCTGCGAGCTTTCTCAAGACACGAACGGTGATTGGTGACTAAACTTGAAGTTGCCTTTTGATTACTGCCACCGAAAATGAGGAATTTTATTTCCTTCCATCTTCTCCAGCAACTTAAAAGAGTTAGGGACTAGGTTGTGGTGAAGATGGAGGACTTCAGATGTTTCTTTCTTGGCATGAAGCATGGATGACGGAGAGCATCAATCACTCTTAGGAAATTCGTGGAGCCAGCGACGATGGTGGAGGGCATCTGGCCATGGAACATCATCTTGAACTTCGTCGAGTAGTCTAGACCACTTAGAAATTCATGACAACGAAAGCTTGGTGGAGATGGCACAGACTGCTCATTTCCTTCTTGGCATGGACGAAGAGTATGAACGGAGGGCACCACTTTGAAAAGAGCGAACATGAGTCCTCCACTTTGAATCTTGTTTCTCCAGGTAAAGACTGCATCTTTCATGCTTCAAACGGTGTATCTTTTTCTTCTCTGCATTTTATTTCTTGATAGGAGCATATTTATGAGACTTTGTTAGCCTACTTCCTTGCATTTAGTGAGTTAGTTTATATTTATTATAGTGTTTTAAGCTATTTTCGTGTGTTTGTAGGTCCACTTGGCAAAGGTGGCAAGAAAAGGCAATTTGGAGCATTTTAGAACAGTTTTGGGCTTGGAATGGATAGCACATGCATGGAGCAAGGTGGATGGACGTTTTTGAAGATCAAAAGAGGCTAGGAATGTGCTTAACAGCTGGATGAATTAATTCAAGACTTGGAAGATAAGGAATCAGCTATAAAGAAGGAAACATTATCCAAACAATTTTATCTTATCCAAACCTTATCTTATCTTATCATATCCTAATCTTTTCCTACCTTAATTCCAGCTGCAAAAGGGACTCATTTTCACATTAAATCACCTAAATATCAGGTTCTAGAAGCCCTATCCTCAGTCCTAAAATCTCTGTCGCACCACCCTTTCTAGAAACCTAGAAATCTGCCGTGTATCCTATTCCCTTTCCTCCTAGGATTGTGCTATCCTTCACCTTTACAAATTATGTCATGCAATCTTTTTCCCTTCAGAAATTGTGCCACATCTAGCCCTATAAATACCACTTAGTGCCACATAATTCTACTACCACATACAAGAGCCTAAAATCAGAAAAATACACTTTGTGCCATGCAAGAATGAAGGAGAAGAGCTTGGAGCCGTCCCTGCCATTCAAGACCTTGGGTTGCTGGAGCGTTTCTAGGTGTATTCTATCCTTAGTTTTAGTCCAATGTTTATTTTAATGTGGTTTTCAGTTATGATAGACATGTGGAACTAATTTCTTTTTAGTTAGAGGTGAATTCAAAGTCATGAACATATATGTGATATGAATTGATTACATCCAGTTATTGTTTCATAAAACATGAATGTGATTTACTTATCTGTTTGATTGATAACTTATTCTTGTATGTTGATTAAGGAGGCCTACTTAGTTTACATGCATGAATTTGATGCTAAAATATAAGGGAATTTCACCTAATAATTATGAGCTTATATTTACAAGTAGTAGAGGTTGCTAGTCACGTTCGCATTATGTAAATTCCTGGCAGGAGTATCATGTTTTTCATAGTTACGAATGCCATGTCAATGCTTGTGATTTTCATAGAACTTAATGATCTTTGATATGCATCTTTATCATGCAGTTCATATAGGGAACTTGATAAGAATAATTTGGTTGCATCGCTGAGTCCAATTCAATGAATTTAGGAAAATCTGATGGTTAATTTGTGTAGTTCATGGTTAACTTAGGGCAATGTCATTCATTGTTTATTGGAATAATAACTGAAAAACGATTTGTATGCATATGTGTCATGTGTGGAGAATGACCCTCTAGCTAGCCTTTCACCCTTTAATTCACCCAATTTCGTGCAACCTTTAGTTTGTTCCTGCAACCTACCTAGTTTTAGTTAAATTTGTCAAAATAACCCCCATTTAGTATTCTGAGTCTTTTTAGTTTAATTTTCGTCCAAACTTCTCTTTAGTTCATGTTTTGAGTCAATTTAACTTAGTTTTGAGTTGTTTGAGTCTAGTTTTTTATTTTTGAGTTAAATAAGTGTAGATTAGCATCTATTCTAATCCCCGGCCTAGAACGATCCTTACTTTCACATACTACAACTATCAAAAAGAGGGTTTTAATTTGTGTGTTAGTTTCTACCACATCATTTCTTAGTTTCTACCACATCATTTCTCTACTCATCAACCATGTCTTTGGCTTCGTGTTCCGTTGTCTTCTCTCTTTCTACAGCTGTGTCTTTGACTTTCATCTTTGTATTTGCTTTCTCCGTCCCTCGCTGCTATTGGCTGCGTCTTTGTTCCTTATGGCTTGCTTGTTGCCCGGTGTTGCTCCGTTGCAGTTGCTGCCTGCTGTTGCTATCCCTGCTCCTTCGGCGCCATTGCCATTGTTAGGCGGTTGTTGCAACAGAATCCGCGAGAAGGAAGACACCACCCTATTTTTGCTTCGGGAATGAGAGAAGCAAAAGGCTTCTCTTCCTCCTACAAATTAGAGAGAAACTAACAGCAAGAAACTTAAAAAAAAAAAAAAGTGGATCTTTACCTTTTAAATTTGTTGGTTTTCCCCTTGCCGCAAACTCTTTGCTCTTTTTGTTTCTTTCTTTATCTTTATGTTTCTCCCTTGCTTTCTTGCTTTGTTCTTCTTTGCCATCTGTTCTTCTCTGTTGTCTTCTTCATGTCCTATTCTTCTTTTTTTTGTTCCCTTATTGTCGATTTCTTTGTGCTTTTGCAGTCAATCCCCCTTTTTATAGACTTAG